GGAGAAGGAAAGGAAGCAATACAGCTGCCGCCGATACTGACCAGAGACATTGACTAGTCTTGCAAAGGAGGGACACCCTCACATAGGTGGTGGAGAAGAAGGGGGAACCGAGAAAGTACACCAATGTGTGGCAAACTCAGCAGACACAATTTACACTTTAAACCAAAGCAATTGACAATAAATCTATTTCACAAGTGATTCAGAATAAATTACCCTCTCATGACCAAGTAAAATACCTCTCCAACTGAAAAACACATTTCCTAGGCAAAAAAACAAAAAACAAAAAACACACAACTGTACTTTCATGTGCATTGTGTAAATCAGTTCCAATCATGTGAAACCCAGTTCAGATACAGAGTTTTTTACATGTGTAATCATACTCTCAGCTGGTGTACATTTCAATTGCTATAAGTGACTCAGCACACAATAGCTGATGCTTTTGCTGACTTTTTCACTTAAAGCTGTTTGTTGCAAAGGTTTATACGAACAGCGTATTGACAGTGTAACAAGGTAATAAGGTGCTGGCCATTATTTGGTTTGTTTATTTATTGCAAGAACTTATTTATACTTGCAGAAGTAAAGGCACTTTTATGTATACTTTTTGTATCAAAGTGTAGACTTTAAAATGCTTTCCTGGCATAGTCTTTGAATACTCAGAGTCAATTCCATGCCATGAAGAAGCAGCAGAGTGGGATTGTTTAGCAGAATTTATTACACCTGTCCCCACTGCCCTGCTCAAGAAGGCTCCCATTGCTACAGGTTGCCCTACTTCTGCTGTAAAACAGGTGCAACACAAAAGCCACATAAGTGTAATAAAACATGTTTCATTTCTTCTCTCTGTCAGGAATGATGTTCCTGCTTTTCAACAGGTCTTGGAGAAACTGGAAAGTGATCCCATATGCCAGCGCCTGTCCCTTAAATCTTTTCTCATCCTCCCATTCCAGCGTATTACCCGACTTAAACTCCTTCTCCAGGTAAGGAAGTTCGGACACATGGTTCCATACATCAGTAGGCCTCCTGGATTTAATATGAGATAATCTCTCTCCCTCTCCCTCTCCCTCCCTCCCTCTCTCTCTCTCTCTCTCTCTCTCTCTCTGTGTATTACATGTATGTGAGCCATTCACAAGTGATGGTACTAAACACGTACTTGCCACTGAAACTTATGAATGTTGTATGTCTGCTTCTAAAGGCTGGAAGTAATACATTAAATTTAATGTCTTAACGTTAAATTAATTACTTTTCTGGACCAAGAAAGGCTCCTAAATGCTAATGTTTTAAAGTAATGCTTTACAAAATAACATACTAATTAAAAAATTTGGTTTTGCATGCCCCTCTATAGAGGAGAGAGATCTGTTCACATTTCTCCTGCCTCAAAAGGTAAAGGGCCTATACTGCTTCAGAAATTAGATTTGCTGAGGCCATACTGTTGAACTGGCAAACACAGACAGCTAAGCTGCTATACATCTAATCCAGTATTGTTGACCATGTCACAGGTTGCTCAAATGAAAATGTGCCCCTTGCACTCATAATGGTTTCATAGGTTTTTTTTAATGTCCAGCATGTCCATTTTTATGTTTTGTTTTTCATTTGAGGGGCAGTGGCATTGACCTGCTCTGGATGCTATAGGATTGGGATCCTTATGACCCCAGTAGCCTTAAGGCTTTGTCAGCCATATGCTTTCAGCTAAAGCTTTTTATAATGCTATGTTGAAGAGGTATAGGTTGGAATAAATAACTGATGTTTTATATAGCAATAGTTGATAACCTTGGACTCTTAATGGTCTTGACTACAACTTACAGAAGCTGTACGAAATACTTCAGACTCTTGCCTATGTTACTTTCTGAGTGTTACAAGGGAAGATTGGACTATCTACTATAAATCTAGTTTGTGAAGGGATGCAAACGCCTTTTCCGATTTGGTGAGATGAAATGTGAGACACATGTGTCATCTGCAGAGAGAACATAGAATTAGTGTTTTAAACATCATGTTATCATTCTGATTTTAAAATTCAAATGTTTTTTGGCAGTATACACAAACATTAACCAGTTATTTTCTAGTTTCTAATATTTAACTTCAATAAATAATTTTAACCCTAATGTTCTCTGCTCTAAACTGCTGCATTGTGGGAGGTAGGAGAGGAAATGGAGTTCCCAGGTAACACATCTTTCAACACACATATAGGGACCATGAACTAGACCTCCCACTGAAAAGTGCTACTCTCCACCTGCCTTCCAGTTAGCAACCTAGAAGCAAAAGAAGTGTGTAGAAAAGAGTACTCATAGCATCAGAGCAATACTCTTGAGGGGATGGAAATGGAGGTACTGGGCTATTACTCCTTCCTAAAATGTTATTCTACCAAAATAAAAGTGCCATCTGGAATTATAGATGCTTTAAATTGAACTGTCATTTCACTTCATTTTAAAAACTCTGTTCTTCCATTCTATAGAACATATTGAAGAGAACTCGTCCTGGTGCAGAAGAAGAAATTCAGGCCACTCAGGCTTATGATGCTCTTGAAAAGGTAAAGGAAATAAAAACTATTTTTCTATTCTGCCCACAGCTCAGTCACATGGGTTCAAAAATGACCTTTGAACAGAAGCAGAAATACTCTTCCTCTGGCTTTTTAAGACCCACATGAGATCAGTTTGTTGGGGCCTTTCTTGAAAAAGGGCAGTGTACAAATATTTAAAACTAAGTAAATAACATAATATGTTTATTTACACCCAGTCTATCAGTCTCTTCAAAACAAATGTTTGTGACAGCTTCTATGGGATATGGACTTGGTACTAATACCATGTCTCTCTGAAAGGGGCAGCTTCCCCATTCTCCAGCCCTTCCTACCACCTATAATACATTTTTTCTTTTTGCAGCTCATAAAAGATTGCAATGAAAATGTCCAGCGCATGAAGAACACTGAGCAGCTAATCTCCTTAAGTAAAAATATGGCCTTTGAATGCAAGGTAAAAACCTCATTTAGGGAGCCAGGTCTCCTGCATCTATTTCCCTTTGCACAACCTCCACCCCCACAAAACACAATTTTAAAAAATCTACAACTTATTCTGTAAAGAACTGCCATGGTCACTATGTGCCCCCCTAACTTTTGCTTCAGCTCATTCTCATTGTGTAGGTAAGGTTCCAGTCATGATGACAGTATGTGTGGGGCTAGGCTATTGCTGCTTAAGTGTATAATGCAGGCATCAGGGTGTCATGTAAATCTCTTCTGTTAGGATGAATGGATGCCTTTTTAGCTCTGTCTCTTTAGCTGAGATATAGGGGGATTTCTGCAAAGTTGGAGACTAATTTTCAGGTTAGAGAACTAGTCATGTCGCCTCCAGCATATGGCAACCCTATGAATGAGCAATCTCCAAAATTTCCTGTCCTCAGCTCAGCTGCAAGAAAGCAGGCTTTAGTCTATAATAAAACAGAAGACAAAGAAAAGGCAGAAGTGCTCAATTCCTATTTTAGTTGAGTCTTTCCCCAAAAGACAAACTATGATCCTCCAGACAATTGTGAAGTACAGGTGGAGGGGACAAGATTGCAAATGGAGATTGATAAACAAATAGTCAAGGAATACATCAATACCTTGCTCAAGTTCAAATCTCCAGGGCCAGATGAACTGCATCCAACAGTATTGAAGGAGCTGGCCAAAGAACTCTCTGAACCACTATCTATTATTTTCTTGAAATCATGGGAAACGGGTGAGGTGGAAGATGGTTGGAAGAGAGCTAATATTGTCGCTAACTTCAAAAAGGGCAAAAAAGAAGGAACCTGGGAACTACAGACCAATCAGCCTGACATCAATCCCAGGGAAAATTCTGGAACAGATTATAAAACAGCCACACAATAATAACTAGAAGCCAACATAGATTTGTCGAGAACACATCCTGCCAGACTAACCTGATGTCATCTTTTGATTGGTTAATCTTCCTGCTAGACAGAGGAAATGTTGTAAACATAGTAAGCTTTTGATATTTCGATTAGCAAGCTAACTAGGTGTGGGATGGGTAGAACAACTGTCAAGTGGATACTCAGTTGGCTATGGGGTAATACTCAGAGGGAATCATACTCAGAAAGATTAATGGCTCCTTCTGAACCTGGAGAAGGTAACAAGTGGGGTACCCCAGGAACCAGTCCTAGGCCCTGTGCTCTTCAACATTTTTATTAATGCCATAGATCAAGGGGTACAAGGAATGCTAATCAAATCTGTGGATGACAGAAAATTGGGTGGAATAGCTAATACTCTGGAAGACAGAAACAACATTCAAAATGATCTGGATAGGCTTGAGCACTGGGCTGAAAACAACAGAATGAAATTCAACAGGGGTAAGTGCAAAGAAATGCATCTAGGAAAAAGAAATCAAACACACAGTTACAAGATGGGAGGGGGGATACCTGGCTCAGCAATACTACAAGTGAGAAGGATCTTGGAGTCATATTGTAGAGCACAAACTGAATATGAACCAACAGAGTGATGTGGCTACAAAAAAAGACAAGTGCTATTTTAGGCTCCATTAACAGAAGTATATTCTCCAAATCCTGTGAGGTACTAGTTCCTCTCTATTTGGCACTGGTTAGGTCTCATCTTGAGTATTGTGTTCAGTTCTGAACCCTGCATTTCAAGAAGGATGCTGACAAGTTGGAATAAGTTCAGAAGAAGGTGACAATGATCAGGGGACTGGAAACCAAGCCCTGTGAGGAAAGATTGAAAGAACTGGGCATGTTTAGACTTGAGAAAAGAAGACTGAGGGGTGATATGATAGCACTTTTCAAATACTTGAAAGGCTGTCATTCAGAGGAGGGGAAGGGTCTGTGCTCAATTAAGCCAGAGTGCAGGACACATAATACTGGGCTCAATTTATAGGAAGCCAGATTTTTGTTAAATATGAGGAAAAATGTCCTAACTGCTAGAGCAGGTACAGCAGTGGAATCAATTATCTCGGGAGTTGGTGACGGCTCCAGCACTGGAGGCATTCAAGAGAAATTTAGACAGCCACCTGGCAGAGCTGCTTTGATTTATATTTCTGCATTGAGCAGGGGGTTGGACTCGATGGCCTTATAGGCTCCTTTCAACTTCATTATCCTGTGATATGATTCTATGATATCCTTTAGAAAGTCAGTCCATTTCATATTTGACCTTTTCCTCCTGCCTCCCACCTTTCCCAGCATTGCCTTTTCCAGATAATCCTGCCTTCTCATTATGTGCCTAAAGTAAGACAGCTTTCAATATTTTTCCTGCAGAGATAGTTCTAGGACCCACTTGTTAAAGTAAGACAGCTTTCAATATTTTTGCCTGCAGAGATAGTTCTAGGACCCACTTGTTTGTCTTTCTGGCAGTCCAGAGTATGCACAAAGCTCTCCAATGGCACCACATTTCAAACAAGTCATTTTCCCCCCTGTCAAATTTCTTAACTATGCAGCTTTCACACTCATACATGGTGGTCGGAAAGAAAAGATGCTCTTGGTCTCCAGTGAGACATCCTTACATTTGGTGATCATTTCAAGTTCCTTCATTGCTGTCCTTCCTAGTCTCAGAAAGAAAAGAGTGTGGATGGTCTTGGTCTCCAATGAGACATCCTTACATTTGATGATCATTTCAAGTTCCTTCATTTCTGTCCTTCCTAGTCTCAGTCGTCTTCTTATTTCTTGGCTGTAGTCTCTACTTGGATTGATGATTGAACCAAGGTACTCAAAATCTCTATTTCAGTTTCCTCATTGTTAATGCTAAAGGTGTGTAGTTCTTCTGTAGACATGATTTTTGTCTTCTTAACACTTAACAGAAAATAAGTATAAAAATGTAATTTTCCAAGATCAGATAAAAACTGTTCCAACCATGCTGTCAAGGTCAGAAAATATACATAAGGAAATATCAGGCCAAAAATTTTAAAAAATCAATAAATGAAGAAGACAAAAACATTCTGGCACCTTAAAGTCTAACTGCTATATTTTAATGCAAGCTTTTGTGGACAAGTCTGCCTCATCAGACCAGTCTTATCACATCAATATAAGCAATTTTATCCTCTCAGTGGTATATGAACTTATCTCAGTGTGAGACTATGCAGCAATGAAGACCCACTTTGATTCATTGTTTTTGAAATGGGATTCCTGCTGATTTCTGTGGTTTTCCACAGGAGAAATTGCTGTAACAGAGATTAGTCAGAAATCAACTGCTACTGTGCATCTCTGAGAATGGACCAACTTAACAGGTCCACTACTTCTGCAGAGACGAATGACCATTACAAGTCTAAACCATAACAAGAAGTGGTCCAGCTGTGAAGAGAGGACCATGGACCCACTAGCAACCAATATTATATGATGACATCATGAAGACCCAAGACATTGTTTGAATATTGACATTTCCCACAACAACGTATCCCAAGAGATTACAACACTTCATCTGAGATCGGATCTGCCAGCTGAGACAGGAAGACTGATGGGAGCAGGGTGTTCAGTATTCCCACTCTGTCTCTCAAGTCTAATATCTGATACAAGCACTCAAGAGATCTCCTGAAGAAAGCAGGGTGTCTAGAAAAGCAATAGTGAACCTCTAACCACAACCCCCATGATTACATTGAAAACAGCTATCCCATAGTAAAGGCGAACGCACTAGAAAATGCAACACAACCAAGTCTGGCTTATATATACAGTATATGAGACTAAATGCATCCTTAGGACTAGTCTTCTGGATTTATCTGGTTTATATTTAATGGGCTGATCTAACATTATATTTTCCCCATTAATCTAACATTGCATTTTCCCCATTAATCTCTCACCCTTTTTTCTAGCACCCCCATCCCCCAGTATCAAAGATGGAATTAAAAAAATATACAGTGGTGTCTCGACTTACGAATGTCCCTAGTAGCAAAAATTTTGAGGTATGAAAAATTCTGGCGGCAAAATTTTGCTTCTACTTGCAGCCAGAGCTTCAACCTATGATAGGCAGGGGGAAAGGGCGGGAAATTCAAAGTGTCCTCTGCCTCCTGTTCCCGCTACAAGGCAGTGGGGACAGGAGGCAGAGGGCAATGGGGATGGCTTTGGAAGCCTGGGAAGCCTGGCTTCCAAAGCCATCCCCACAGGGAAAAGAGGTAGAGGACAGCGGGGATGGCTTTGGAAGCCTGGGAAGCCTGGCTTCCAAAGCCGTCCCCGTAGGGAAGGGAGGCAGAGGACTGTCCTCTGCCTCCTGTTCCCGCTACAAGGCAGTGGGGACAGGAGGCAGAGGGCAATGGGGATGGCTTTGGAAGCCTGGGAAGCCTGGCTTCCAAAGCCATCCCCACAGGGAAAAGAGGTAGAGGACAGCGGGGATGGCTTTGGAAGCCTGGGAAGCCTGGCTTCCAAAGCCGTCCCCGTAGGGAAGGGAGGCAGAGGACAGCGGGGATGACTTTGGAAGCCCGACTTCCCGAGCTTCCAAAGCCGTGTCCCCACTGTCCTCTACTTTCCGTCCCGGCTGCACTCTGCCTCCCGTCCCCACTGCCTCCTGCAGTGGCAGAGGCAGCGGGGATGGGAGGCAGAGGGCAGTGGGGATGGCTTTGGAAGCCCAGCTTCCCAGGCTTCCCAAGCCGCCTCGACCGCTGCGCTGGGTGCCGGTGCTTTGGAAGCCCGGGAAGCCGGCACCTGGCATAGCGGTCAAGGTAGTTTTGGAAGCCCAGGAAGCTGTTGTTTTTCTTAGTTCATATTACACTTGATGTAGGAGATGCCATTATTTTCACCGGCACCTGGCATAGCGGTCACGGCAGTTTTGGAAGCCTAGGAAGCTGTTGCTTTTCTTAGTTCATGCTACACTTGATGTAGGAGATGCCATTATTTTTCTATCATGATTTTTATTGGTACTCAGCTTCCCGGACTTCCATAGCCACCCCAACCGCTGCGCCTGGTGCCAGCTTCATAGGCTTCCAAAGCACAGGCACCCAGAGTGGTGGTCAGGGAGGCATAGAAGCCTGGGCTTCCTCAGCAGCAGCAGTTATATATTTTTTGATGATTTTTCTTCTTCCGGGATGGATTAATAGCTTTTCAGTGCATTCCTATGGGAAATGGTGCTTCGACTTACGAAAAATTCGAGGTACGCCCACACTTCCAATATGGATTAATTCCATAAGTCGAGGCACCACTATACTCATCTAATTTTAGGTAGAGATATGAAGAAATAAATGCAACTGACTTAAAACCATCATGCTTTCTCATGCAGATTTTCCCACTCATCTCACAGTCTCGTCGGCTGGTGAAGCATGGTGAACTTAGAGCATTGGAGTATAATCCTGGTTTGAGTATACTCATCTAATTCTAGGTAGAGATATGAAGAAACAATGCAACTGACTTAAAACCATTATGCTTTCTCATGCAGATTTTCCCACTCATCTCACAGTCTCGTCGGCTGGTGAAGCATGGTGAACTTACAGCATTGGAGTATAATCCTGGTTTGAAATGGAAACTTACCACCCGGTCTATCTACCTTCATCTCTTTAATGACTCTTTACTGTTATCTCGACCCAGAGAGTAAGTGTTGGTGGAAGGGGACAGGTCTCCTTCAAGAGCAAAGAGCTTTTCAACAAAATTGCTGGAATCTTATTGATGATTTATGCTTGCTTAAAAGAAATTGCATCTTGGAAGCACATTGTTGCTTCTTGACATGGTGCTGGGTTGTGCTCCTGGGTGAGTATCCTATCACACAGTTCAGCATGTACCCAAGAACACATTAATATGGAGCAGCTTATACAGTTTCCCTTATACGAGCATAAATCGTCAAAAGGATTCTGGCCAACTGACGAAAAAACAAATTGGATACTGTATAATGTTCAAAAGTCAACAAGAAAGAAGCATAGACCTGTTGGGGATTGCTGTTGTTGGGGGGTTCCCTCTTACAAGACAGCAAGCAGAGACAAGTAGCTCTCTTTATTGATAATAAAAGCAATCCTCAGCCTGCTTCACTCCATTTTTCCCATTGCACTGCAGGAATGGCCGCTTTATTGTTTTTGATTACGCTGCCTCTTCAGATGTGCGTGGAGAGAAGTGTGAAATGAAGCTGCATGGAACAAACAAAAATGTTTTCCGCCTCTTCCTGCTGAGGAATCATCAAGGGAAAAAAGTAGAGTTCCTCTTCCGCACTGAAACTCAGTAAGAAAAGCTACATATTTCTGCCTCTGACTAACCTCTGGTACTCCAGACTCACTTTTAGAGTGGTGTGGATGTTTATAATGACCTTATACAGCAATTTACTTTGAGCAACAAGAAAATGTTTTCTCGTGGTGGTGGTTGTTACATTAGGCAGCTCCATGGTACAAATATATGCCAGTTTTAACAGTCTATGCAAAATTTCACATCGAAGTGTGGGAGAATATGAATTTTTAGTTCATCCATCCTTAGTTTACCTTCCCTCACAGAATTTCAACTCCCAGGTCTCCTGGAAAGGATGACCACAAATAATACAATCCTAGGCATGACTACTCAGCAGTAGCTCTCAAGAGTCAAAAAATACTCATCACATTTTTAGAAAAGGTGCTCTCCCAAGTCCTGAAAGATACCATGTAATAGAACATAATTATTCTCACCTAATTATTCTGCATTTAGCATGCTTTGGTATTTCTTGGGCAAACACAAGCTTCATTTGCAAATCTGATTATGTACATATATCTGAGGAAATCCTTTTGTACAAAGGAAAATAGAACATAATTATTCTCACCTAATTATTCTGCATTTAGCATGCTTTGGTATTTCTTGGGCAAACACAAGCTTCATTTGCAAATCTGATTGTTTATGTACATATCTCTGAGGAAATCCTTTTGTACAAAGGAAAAGCAGAAGACACATTATCCATAACATCTGGTTTGACCTGAGTTCAATAAAACTTGCTTCCAGATCAGTTGGTATACTGTTTGCAAGTTGAATTCTAGATGAACTTTCAGATGGGCTGGCCAATTTTTAATATTTATTATCTAATGCCATATATGTGCTTTGATACATTTGCTGTCATATTTTTACCCATGGTCTGCCCTCATTCACAAACATTTAAATCCTGCTATATTACTTACCCCTGTGGAAGGGTGATGATGTTACCGGCAAGGGGCAATTTTTCAGTAAATAAAAACTTCTTACTTTTGTCCTGTGTCTTTTCCATAACTCCTTTCATCATATGGAAGCAGTAAAAGCTTCAAGATGAAAGTTTAATTACCAAAAACTGTTGCCATTGGATAATGTTACTGGCAGAAGAAGATTTTTCTTTTCTTTTTGGTAATTAAACACTTCCTCTATGGCACCTACTGCTTCCACACAATAGAAAGGATTACATAGGAGTCAGGAAAGCCATGAGACAGAAGCAGGAAGCTTTGAATGACTAAGAACCATCCTGCTGGTGATGTCATCATTTTTCTATAAATATAATTTATGCAATAATATGTATTCTCTATTTTCTACCACATTTGGAAGAAATGTGTTCACAAAAACAGATATGAATTTATCTTCCAGCTCTAGGAGGGATGATATCACAACCTATAATCAATTATCAGACACCACAGTTGATTTTCTCCTCAGCATGTTGGAAAGTTACAGATGCTTTTACATTTTACATTTTGTTTATTTTGAGAGCTCATTTAAGGGCAATGGAGCATTTAAAATTACCTGTGGTTTCAGGATAGTGAGAGCCATGCTCATTACATTAGAAATGTGCAGTTCTTTGTACATTCCTTAGAATAAGCTCTGCTGAACAGAGTAAACTTCTGAGTAAACATGCTTAAACCTCTTAATTGATTAAAATAAATATAGTTTTATGCAATTAAATGAAATCCAAGTAGTTTGAAGTTTTCTGAGTGGTGGAATGAAGGGAAACAAGAACCTATAATGTCACATTTGAGATATAGGAAGGACGGTTCGAAGAAAGACATTACAGTGGTGCCCCGCTTGATGACGATAATGCGTTCCAGGCAAATCGCTATTAAGTGAAATCATTGTCAAGTGAAAAAAAAAATTGAAATGCATTGAAAAACGGTCAATGCGCTCCAATGGGGGAAATACCTGCTCGTCCAGCGAAGATCCTCCATAGGGGAAGCCATTTTGCATTGCTGTCTTCCGGAAATAGGTCCGGAAAACAGCAAGTGGCCATTTTGAAACCCCAACGATCAGCTGTTTTTAATCATCGTAATGCGAAAAACCAGTTCCTGAAGCAGGGAACCAATTGTCGTAAAACAGAAAAAACACATTGAATCATTGTTTTGCAATCGCTATAGCGATTGCAAAAACCTCATCGTCAAGCGATTTCATCGTTAAATGGGATAATCGTCAAGCGGGGCACCACTGTATTGTTTCCCTCAGGACTGCTGAAGTTATTCTGATCTGAAAGCAACAAGCCTTTGTGAATGTGGCCATCAGCCTTTAACCCATACACATGCACATTTTTTACCCTTACTGAGTCTCCCTTCATTTATTATTCTCTCATCTCTCTATTGCTGCCTATCTTTGTCTGTACAAAATATGTTTTATAGTGCTTCTTGTGTAATTGTGGGAGAGGATAGTGATGTTTCGCTCATTACATTCCTGTAGACTGCAGATTCCAGGCTTTTCCATACATCTGTAGATTTCCTTCAAGCATATACAGTATGCTCTAAAATTTCAACTAGGGGATAATAGAGTCACAAGGTTATAAGAGTCAGCTTGAACAGTATGCTCTAAAATTTCAACTAGGAGATAATAGAGTCACAAGGTTATAAGAGTCAGAAGACACTCCTGACTAGCATTCCCATGAGGTAGCATGTCTATCAGTTGGGAAATGAACTGGGGTCACCCCAGAATAAAACGAGTGCCTTCAGTATACCCAGAAGCCAACACCTAAAGAGTCCAGGGCAGGAGACACAGAAAGCTGGCGTCTCAGGTAGCACTCAAGCTCATATGCAAGGCTCCATGCTGGTATATGTTTGTGAATCAAATGAAAAAGACACTTGCAGTGACCTCCAAATCACATGAACAAAGAACTTGCAGCTTGCTGGTACTATCTTCCTCATATTGAAGGTTGGGGTGAGAGAGCAGAGTCTGGTCTCCTTATTAATGATTAAGGACAAGTGAAGCCTAATGACATAACTCTGATCATGCCACAAGCAAACAGGACAAGGCACACCACATCTCGTGTTTCACCAGGATCTGTTAAGTACATCCTTGGGTATTCCTCTTTTCAGTTCTTTCCCATCTATTTTTAAACTTTTAGGAGTGAGAAGCTGCGATGGATTTCTGCTCTTACCCCTCAGCAAATAGAACTTGACTTTTTGGATGACCCTGGTAAGATGACTCAGGATACCCAAGAGAAGACTAAACCACATGAAAAAGGATATTACATTCATCCATAAGAAATATACACTGCACCGTTTATTTATTTCACTTATGTCCTGTTGTTCTTTGAGGACTGGGCCTCAAGGGCAGCTCATGACGAGATCAAACACAAAAATCTCAGCTCCTTTAGGGCACTTCCATCCCTGTTGACCTTTCTGAAGAACCACACTCACTGTGTTAAGTCTACTGCAGTTACACACCAAATTATTTTTATGATTTATTGTTGGTTTTGTGTTGTCTGATTATTGTTTTGAAATCCAGAAATGATGAAAAGAGAAACTAGTTCTCGGGATGTTGAAATGTTTAGATTAGTAGGGCTACTACCCAACTAAGAGGTGGTATGATGAATGAATAAAGGCAATGATACCAGAAAATACATAAAATTTAGAAAGCTAGAGAACTTTGACCATATAGTGAGAAACAAAAAGTACAGATTGTTACAGCTGGTCACTCAAGGTAAAAGAGGTGGGAAGAGTAGTGCAGGAAGAAGAGTCTAGAAAAGTCTTAGATACAGGTTTGGATATGACACATCACTGTTTAAAGCAGTCATGTCCAAAGTTGCAACAGCTTTGATATTGTCTAACCCATGGTCATTCAAGGCAAAATAGGTGGGAAGAGTAGTGCAGGAAGAAGAGTCTAGAAAAGTCTTAGATACAGGTTTGGATACGACACAACATCACTGTTTAAAGCAGTCATGTCCAAAGTTGCAACAGCTTTGATATTGTCTAACCTTTGGTAGGAGAGGAATAAGAAGTAGTTCTCCAAAGTGGCATCAATGAGCAATTATTGCAGTCCAATAGGTTTTTAGGCAATGCACAGAAAATTACAAAAAAAGAAGATAATTCATCAGATAAACAAATGCATCTTTAGTTGGAACACTACTCCTATTATCTATCTATCTATCTATCTATCTATCTATCTATCTATCTATCTATCTATCTATCTATCTATCTATCTATTTTATTTTATTTTATTTTATTTTATTTTATTTTATTTTATTTTATTTTATTTTATTTTATTTTATCCCACAAGGCATTAGAAATAGTGTTGCAGCTGATTAAAGGGCATTTCAAGAAGAATCCTCTACTCCCTCTCAAAGTCAGCCAGTGGGAAAAGACAAGAACAGGGAACAACTGCTGTGACTAGAAGTAGCACCCGTGTGTTCCCATGCTTTCTGCTTCTTCAATGGTTAGCACAACAGATTGGGCAGCTGTAATACTAGATTTTCTACCACTTGGAGAAAAGAGCCTATGACTTTGCTGCCTTCAACATCCTTTCATGGAAGTTTGCACAGAGACACATCTCTCCCGCCATAGCAGGACCTCACCACTAACCACTAGTTCAGCTTATCAATCACTCAGGCGAAGTAGATTCTTTTGTTCTTACCACTTGTCTACCTGACCCAAAATGTCTCTCTCTCTCTCATCGTGTGAATGGAAGCCACAGTTGCTGCTATTCTCAGATGAACTTTAAGAAAACAAAGGGAGAACTAAAAGCAGGAGCAGAACTGTGCACACTCAGTTATTTCAGGGCCAGAGTTTATATTGGGCATAAAATTAATCATCCTCATAGTCAGTTTTCATTGAAACAACACACAAAATTTTAGTTCTTAAAGCAGTGGACATCGACACAAAAGCTTTGCGGGCAGCGCTTGGTGAAGTCTCACAATTCAAGAGCAAGGAATGGAACAGAAGGATAAACATATTACAGGCACACACTGCATGCACACACACTCACCTCATCTAGGTAAATTACAGAAATTGACATTTCTTGGTTCAAAGAAAAAATGTTGAAGAATGCCCTTTTTTTGTGGGTGGGGGGAGAGAGGGAACTCCACACCTCACTGAATTACGTTAAAGTGACTGGCAAGTAACAATCCATATGTTCCCATCCAATCCACAGAGGCAGCACAGGTTCAGGGCATGAAGTCTTACAAACCCCGAGAGAATGATGAGCTGGCTGTGGAGAAAGCAGATATAATTATGGTCCTGAAGCAAAGTAGTGACGGTGAGTAGACTGAGCATTGTCATTGCAGTAGGAAACGAGTGGACTTCTGTGGGTGGAAAATGCCACAGGGTGGCCATGATGTCTGACTTCCCAGCAAAGAGATATCCTTTTGCATTACATGGGGAAATTCAGGATGGAACATGCTGCTTTTCTTAGTTGATATTACACATGATGTAGGAGATACCATGATTGTTCTATCGTGATTTTTATTGGCCCTTAAATGCAGCTATGAGTGTCTACAGATTTTTTATGGAAGTGCTGAGGGTGTTTAGTCCACTCTCTTTGTGCTCTTGTTTCAAAGTCACCACATTCAAACTGCTTTGCTCATGCTGGGAGGAAACCTGACATCTTTTTGTTCTCAAGATGGCAAAAGGTGGTTAAAAACTTGAATATATGGGGCAAGCAAAGGAAAATCCCAGAAGCTGACTCCTTTTTTCATCACTTCTCACCTAAATGCAAAACAATTATCATGTCTGTTTTTCAACAAGTGTTGTTGGTTGTTGTTTTTTTTAACAAGGCATGCCTATTTCTGAATAGGGCGCAGTTTTACTTTAAAACTCAAAAATCTTTTGCCCAAACTTCCCCAAATTCGGTACAGAGCAGGAACAGCCTGTCTGCAACACCTGCATCAAATTTGGTGCTAATCCAAAGTTAAGTTTCAAAGTTATATATATTTTTTGTTTGAGCTGTCCCCATTTTTGGAATTGTCTTGTAGAATATAGATTTGATTTGCTGTACAATAACATAGCTGCACTGTCATGCAACTAGATGTGATTTGCTGTACAATAACATAGCTGCACCGTCATGCAACTATAATTAATGCCTGCTTTGCCCTTTCAACAATAACACAGAGCAGTGTCTTAATTAATGCCTGCTTTTCCCTTTCAACAATAACACAGAGCAGTGTCTCATTCTCTTGGGAAATTTTTATTGTCACAACCACCCTGTGAGTCACCATCACCACACTGTGTCTCTGTGTAGGATTTTGCATTGTCCTCCAATGTGTTTTAGCATGTCTTCAATCTCCAAGTAAGGAGACTGAAGACACACTAATCATCCCTGTGAGTGAACTGAGGGATAGAGAGATAAGGACTAGCTCAAGGTCTTTCAGTGAGCCTTTTCCTGGCTAGGGATGGGGGCACTGAATCACGTTTTCCCCACTTCTCATTCTTTTTTTACACTAATAAGTATATCAAATATTCTCATTCAAAGACTTATGGATTATTGTGACAAACAATTTGTTCAGTACATACTAATTAATTAAATGTGCTCAGCCAAATTCCATGTTATTTAGGGTGATTGAATTTGTTCAGTGCATACAAATTAAATGTGCTCAGTCAAATTCCATGTTATTTAGGGTGATTGAATGTTTTCCAGAAATTGTTTCACTGCCCCAGAAAATGACTACTGGTACAAAACAGCATGCAAAGAAACTAAGAACCCCCAACCTTCTGGTTCCAGCTGTAAAACCATTATGATGAGAAGTTACTTGAGTGGGAAACAAATGAGCTGGGGCATACAAATTAAATGTGCTCAGTCAAATTCCATGTTATTTAGGGTGATTGAATGTTTTCCAGAAATTGTTTCACTGCCCCAGAAAATGACTACTGGTACAAAACAGCATGCAAAGAAACTAAGAACCCCCAACCTTCTGGTTCCAGCTGTAAAACCATTATGATGAGAAGTTACTTGAGTGGGAAACAAATGAGCTGGGAGTTGTTGCTCAGTCTTTCTCTAACCCCTCCTGTGATTTGTGCATTATGCAACTGACTTGCACTATATGCAGATGAGGAGACCTGGATTTCGGGGACTAGACCACAAATACAAGGGAATTTAGCTTGCTATATGGGTTCACTGCAAGGACAGGCTGGTTCACTCCTAAAGATGGCAAACATATTATGTTTGTGCTGAAGCAAATGAGCCCACCTTCAGTGCCTTTCTGAGCCCCTGTCAGGGGCTTCTACTTTTTTTGGTGTGAGAAACATTACTCTGGTTTGGTTCCAGTGCAATCACTGGAAACAAATCAAAAGTGAGCCTTCTGGTTGTCAAGGCTCCTTGCTGTGGGAATTTGCAATATCATGAGGTGGCTTAATAAGAAAGCCACTTCAGGATCTTAGCAAATGAAAAACTTCCCCTGCTCCTTGGCAAATGGCCAGAGGAACTGAAATTTTTTAAAGTCTCTATTAGGGCCATGAAAATGCATTCCATCACTTATAAAAATGTTTTTTAAATATTTTCTTTGCCTTGTCTTAAAGGGCTGGTCAAGGCCGCTATGCCATTTGGATCTGAGGATTCCACCAAATGGTATATTACACCTCTATCTGACCCCAGGCAATCCTATTTGTCATGCACCAGCTGGTTCCAAAAAAGCCTGTACAGATAACCCCTCTGACAACTCTATTCAAGGGTGCTGGTAGATAAATGCTGTGTTGAGGATATTGCCTTCTGTTTTTCAGAGTCTTCTTTAGTTGACACTTTTAATTTACACACCCTCCCTGTTGTGCCCGCAATTTCTTCTGTCAGATTTTCCATCTTTCACCACAACTCGCTCACAACATTCCCTGCCCCACCTCAAAATCTTTCATGCAGCAAAAGCTGGTGACTCTAGTTCAAGAATTAATCTGCTTTTTTGCCAAAGTATCCATGGTGCTAAACCTGGGGATAAGGTTTGGAACATTTGATAGCTCAGGTAACATGCTGGGTTTGAACCCAGAGTGGACTCACAACAGTTGACAGCCAACATTGCTCACATGGCAATTCCACAGCAACCAGGCATTCTGTAGAAGTGTATACATCACATCATTGGTTATATAGTCTCCCTATTCACTTTTTCCCCCAAATGGGGTTACTGTAAACCTGGGAGGAGAGGAAATGTCCACCTCCATTGCCATTTTTCACACAAGAGCAACAGTCTGAAAAGGTGAGCCTTAGCTATGCATGGACTTTCTTCACAAAACTGAGGATCCTGAAAAATCAGGGTTTGCATGGAGTGTAGAGATTAGCCTCTTCACACTGTCAGTTTCTACACATGAAAGTGACAAGGCTAGTACAATCCACCTCCTCATGGTCCAGTGTAGAGAAGATTAGCCTCTTCAGACTGTCAGACATGAAAGCGACAAGGCTAGTACAATCCACCTCCTCATGTATTCAGATTATCCCTTTAAAAAGAACTGAACAAAACTATAGGGAGCATGTGTTCATCTGTTTACTTGGGTCTAGCTGTCCTTGTATACTTCCTTTACGTGAAGTTATGACCACATGCCAAAAGATTACTATGGCCATATGAACTAGTTTTCATAGATTGTCAGCACACTCCCAATGTACTGCATGAATACCTCTTCAGAAAGCCCATAGCAATAGCTAAACTACTTCAGGGTAGTGGGAATAATAATTTTAGTTGTCTCCCCTGAGTCAGTGGTATGGAGGATGTTCACAATAGGAATAATAATTTCAGTTGTCTTCCCTGAGTCAGTGGTATGGAGGATGTTCACTGCACATCAGAACCAACTGTGTGATAAAACATCTATCTGTATCACTAAAATGTCTGACTTAACACATTGCTATGTGAAGAAATGGTAGCTCACCATTTAATAAAGGGTCATGATGCTTGTTTTTTTTTTCTGCAGGCTGGATTGAAGGAGTAAGACTCTCAGATGGAGAGAGAGGGTGGTTCCCTTCGGATCACGTGGATTTCATCTCCAGCAAGCAAGTACGGCAAATGAATTTGAAAGAGGAGCAGCGTGTTAAGGATGCCAAACAACAGGTCTTTCACAGGAATTAAGACCCTCTCTCCCAGCAAAAGACACTGCAACACCCTCTGTTGCAGCTCCCTGCCCCAAACTGGATGTTTGGTCTTCTGGAAGAGAGCTATCTCACAAGGATAATGAGTAATGTTTGGCGAGGGACATAGTCAAAGACATTTTTTACCAAATAAATTAAAAACTCATGGAAAAATCTTGTACATCACTAGGACTAGTGAAAAAAATGTAGTAGGAGAAAAAAAGCATCAGTCCTGGCATGGTGGATGGAAAGAAGTGCAAGAGAGCTGGGTAATGGATGTTAGTGCCTCTGGGGAACTACTATTGACTTTTCCTCTGTTCAAGTGTATGGACTCCTCCTCCCTTGGGGACTGTGTTTCAGCTTCTGCTCTGCAACTGGAGGCTAAAACATTAGAATGCCAAAGTGCTTTGAATGCATACCAAAGAAGACTTTAAAGAGAAATATACTTATCATGGATATTGGCTGTTCCACCTGAAATACTTATTTTTGCATAATTATTTTATATATAAAACAGAAGTGTCAACTTCCCTTGCACCTAGTAACAGAAAGATTAGCCCCAAGTCTCTAGTGGAGATTTTGTTCCTGGCACTTTTAACAGTGTCCCCCTTTAGCAAGTGAAGAATTCCTTGCCACTTACCTTACATCCAGGAAAGCTCCACCTGCAGTTAATTTCCTCATGTCAAGGAAAGGCTAGAGGGGGAAAAAAGGGGAAGTGACATCTCCCCCACTAAAAATATGAAGAAAAATAAGGTACACTGATTGCACCTCTATTTAAACAGAGCCACTGTTTAGATTATAGTAGACCCTGGGTTTTCTTCTTTGAAGTTTGCAAATGGGGCTTAAAAAGTCTTGGTAGTGATACTGCAACAAACAAGAGGTGTTTTTGTGCTTTTGCTAGGGAGGCATCATTTATAAGTGACCAACCAACTACCGTTTAATGATACACTGGAGAGACTTTCAGTATAGCTCTTTTTATGTTTGTGTGACAAAGTGCCTTAGAACACATGTGTCCTCAACAGAGAAGAAGCAGGTGGTGAGGCAGCTGGGCCCTTCGAGACAAATGGTAACCAAATACTTGATGAAGGAATTTGATTCTGTACTTGGAGATCCTGCTCCTGTCTTCAGAAAAGAGGCTTTGCATTGGGGAAGTTCCAGATTCTCTCATCACCATTTGAAATAAGAAGGTAGAATCTGATGGAAAAGCCCTCTATCTCATGCAGGGGCCATATTGTCTTCAGCAGCAGCAGTTCAAATCACCACTGAATGAGAAACAGAACCCTAAAGCCCAGGACTGGCCCAGTGTGCATATTTTTGTTCGGGTTTACCTCTAGTGGCTTGCTCCTACACAAACACACTGAATACCTCTGAAATCCAGAGAGTTTATGCCTGCCCACTTCCACACAGGATTGTAATCCAGGGTTCCTGCCTTCAAAAAGTCCAAGTTTAATTAAATGATTATTATTTTCAACATTTTGATACACTTGGGCGTGACCTGCAGACCACTTAAATTGACTTACAACCCAGTCCTAAGCACATGCATTATAAAAGTGTCAAATGTCTACTTGGTTTGTTTGGAGGTGTAAAATAGGATGATAATACCAAGAAATTTACATATTTTCTAGCCTTTACAAGAGAGTTGGGGAATGTATAACTTTTCAGACAGTACTGTGCTTCTGGTCCTATGGTCCTTTGCCATGCATGGGCTGTGGCGGCTAAAACTGATGGAGTTTGCAAAACAGAAATATGTTCTTCATCCCTGCCGTATAGATTGCGTTCTTCGGAACTTTTGTTAATTATATTCTGTTATTCACACTGGTAGAACTGAGCCTTAAACTACACATTACCTGGAGATCTGTCACTCTTTCTTCTCCATGATTTTTTAATTTTTTTTAGTTCAACCAAGCCAATGTAAACTGTGAGTCCCACCAGAAAAAAGAGAGAGAGCATGCAGGAGATTGCTATACGTTCCACCTCTGGTTGCATTTCAGCTCAGATTTTCTCCCTTCAAGCTGCTTTTTCATCCACTGGAGAAAAGACAGCATCTGTGTAGATTTACCTTAGTATATGAGTGGGGGAACTATGGTCGTCCAAGTTTTTTCTGACTGTAATTCCTTTAATCTCTTACCACTAGTTATGCTGGCTAATGCTGATAGGAGTTGTATGCTAAAACAATGAATCCAGAGGGTCAGATAGGTATCAAACCTTGTTCTAGTACAGTGCCCTAAACTTGGTGATCTAAATGTTCTTGGACTACAACTCCCAGAAGCCTTGACCACCAGCTATGCCAGCTACTTTCTAAGAATGTTTGGGTGTAAAAAGTTGAGAGTTCCTGGTCTAGTATATAACTTAAGGAGAGTGATTTTTGATGTGAAAAATGACCAGAAAGTATAGGGAAAGGATTGCATCTCTCTGTACCAATGTTTCCTCCTTCCAGCTTGCCTTGTGCTGGAAAAAGGAAGAATGGGACTCCACATAATCTACATTTCAAGTCTTCAAAGGAGCCATTTGTACATTTTTCCAATAGTGAATGGCTCATTCTCTCCTGTCTATTCAGGCTTTTCTAGGATTAACTCTCTAGCTTTCTCTGTCACACACTAACATCTGACATTTCGGACCATTGAAAGTATAAATTGTAGCTCTACATTGTTTTGAACTAGAGGAGGAACATTTAAGATCAGAGTCACCCCTCAGTTCCATGTGCACAATAGTAAATCTTGCCTAGTTGCATGGTAGCTGGGAGATCCTAGACAATGTAGTCCAAAAGAGATCCTTCTGTCTCTGAAAGTTGATTTCTAAATCCATGTGATAATTTGAAATGGCTACAAGGTGGCCAAGTTTTTGGGGAAAATTCTGTTACATAAAGCTGTATAAATTCCAATTTATCTCATTATAAAAATTGTATGAGGCCTGGATTTAATCAGGGCATAGGATGGGGGAATAAATTCCAATTTATCTCATTATAAAATTTGTACGAGGCCTGGATTTAATCAGGGCATAGGATGCTGATATCCCAGGGTGCTTCTCTGAAATAATTAGACAATTTGGACGTCTTTTCAAGGTGGGTGGGGGGAGAGTTGTGACTTTGGTATTGGTTCTACGCTAGGAGATTGTGCATGTTTTTATTTTGTTTTGTTTACTCCTATTCCAATTTATCTCATTATAAAATTTGTACGAGGCCTGGATTTAATCAGGGCATAGGATGCTGATATCCCAGGGTGCTTCTCTGAAATAATTAGACAATTTGGACGTCTTTTCAAGGTGGGTGGGGGGAGAGTTGTGACTTTGGTATTGGTTCTACGCTAGGAGATTGTGCATGTTTTTATTTTGTTTTGTTTACTCCTCTTTCTTTAGCAGTGGGCGTGTAAAATTCTTCTTTTCCCAGGCAATGGAAGGTGGAAGGATTATCCCTGCAAGCAAAACAAAGTATTTTCCCTATAACAATAAAGGCAATACAGAGGGGGAACGGCATATGGCTTCTAAAGTGGAGGGCAGAGGAAAATTGTAGAAGACTAGCTTCAAATGGCTGAGCAAATGTAGCACATATGCCTTGTTGAGAGTACTAGCGAGACTCAAATTCATTTACAGGCACCACTGTGGAAATATTATTAGAACTCACATTATGCAGCGGGCACTCATGGGCACCCATCAGGAAGTCCCATTCACATCCCAAATCACATTCACCAGCACAGCAAAAACACATAAGCCAGAGCCTTAGTCCTTACATGCATTAACAGTATAAGCCATAGCAGTGAATTGCTGCAAGTTTAAAAAGTCACTTCTTGTACTTGTCAAGTGCCAGTCATGTGACTTTTTACACCAAGAAGAATACAAGCAGCAGCTCCTTTACTGATGGCAATTCCTTGCTCTGATTTATATCACTGCACATAAGTAATACAACAGTGGTCATTGTGTGGCTAGTCTTGGGGTGCTGGATGCAGTTCAGCATCTCAAGCTTGGAGAGGAATCTAGCATTTGAGGTGCCAGAAGAGAAGAAATGTTGATTTTTGTGAATGAAACATCTTTCCAGCCTGGGCAGCCAGCTCCATCAATGTGCATCTGATGCCAGGGCTCATTGGCACAGCAAAAAATAAAAATAAAATAAATTAAAAAAATTAAAAAAATTAAAAAAATGCATATGTATATTTTGTTGGCATAAATATAGGTCCCTTGTATGCATTTTTGCCCATCATGCCATGTGGAGCAAGACAGAGACTAGAGAGGCAGCATTTGCATGCAGGGAATTTCTTGTTGCACACACCTTGTTAACGGTAACCCAGGGCATGGGAAGAAAAAAAATATCATCCATGAGCTGGAGGTGAAATTTCCACCAGCTCCAGCACACCCCCACTGTCTGGGAAACCTCCCCACAATATACCTACTGTAAATGAAGCATATGAGAAGAGAGCCCTGGTGGGAATGGTGGCAACTGCAGTTGCTGAGCAGATTCTGGCACCCAGGTGACGGTCCAACATTTTCCCCTGGTTCGGTGTTGCTAATACTATCTAGTTAACTAGTTTTTAGCCAAATTCTCAGGCCATTTACAAAGATTCCTCACATATTACAATCAGCTGGCCCAGAAAACAGTCATGGTCTCCCAGCATTACTTGCCTGCCAAGTCTTTGTGGCCCACCTTTATGGTGTCATAACAACCAGCAGCCTGGTCTCAAATCTCCAAAATGGAGGCTACTGACCAGCATCCCTCAAATCAGAACCATTGCATTACTGACACACAGCATATAAACTGAACTCCTATTCCACAACTACATGGGCCCACAGTGTGTCCATGGTAGCTACAATAGTGGAAGGCAGATCCACATTGCATAGTTGATTGTTATAGGAACTGAATGACTGTGCAATCAAACTGCACAATTTGCATTTTCTATGCATGATACCTAGCAAAGTTACACCTGTGCAACTTTGTTTCATTGTGGCAAGCTGGATTCCTGCTAGTTTTTTAGTGTACAGTATATACATGTGATCTCAGAGGGAGTGGTTGTTGTTTGGTCATTAAGTCGTGTCCGACTCTTCGTGATCCCATGGACCAGAGCACGCCAGACCCTCCTGTCTTCGATCTCAGAGGTAAGACCTACTAAATTTATTGGACATGGTGGCGCTGCAGGTTAAACCGCCTACTAAATTTATTGGACATGGTTAAACCGCTGAAGCCTCTGTGCTGCAAGGTCAGAAGACCTGCAGTCGTAAGATCGAATCCATGCAATGGAGTGAACTCCCATCGCTTGTCACAGCTCCTGCTAACCTAGCGGTTTGAAAGCATGCAAAATGCAAAAATGCAAGTAGATATATAGGTACCACCTTGGTGGGAAGGTAAACGGTGTTCCGTGTCTAGTCACACTGGCCATGTGACCACAGAGGATTGTCTGCAGACAAACTCTAGGTTCATGGGTTGGAAACGGAGATGAGCACAGCCCCCTAGAGTTGGACACGACTGGAAAAAATTGTCAAGGGGAACCTTTACCTTTACCTTACTTCAGAATAACTAGGCTTACTGCCTTACACTGATTTTGACAGCATTGCAACATCACAGACTTAAGACAGTATGATAATCAATGGCCAAAATCCTGTTGTTTCAGATAGATACCACGTAAGCCTTTTTATCTATGTTTTTACTCCTTGGCAATGCGAATAAGTTCTAGATGCATGACTGCCCATGGTTCAGTTTAAAGAAACAGATGAAATATATGATTTAATGATGGTAAGTGGGTATCATTTTTGTGAAGTTCTTATGAAATTAAGAAATATCATATTAAATTAACAAGTTTTGACCAGTTCCCAAGACAAGGGCTTCTGCCTTGCAGGAAAACAGAGATAATAACTGAAGGAATTAGTGCCATTGGAGACCAGTGCCATGGTCATCCACAGCAGTGCTTCCCAACTTTGGGTAACCCAGGTGTTCTTGGACTGCAACTCACAGAAACCAAGCCAGCACAGCTGGTTGTGAGCATTTTGGGGAGTTGCTGTTCAAGAACACCTGCATTAACCAAAGTTGGGAACCACTGATCCACAGTATTATATTCCTGATGAATAGCTAAGGGTGTAAAACCTGGACAGTGAAGAAAGCTTTAAAATATGGTGCTGGAGGAGAGCTTTGTGGATACTCTGGGCTACGAAAAAGAGAAAAAGACAAGCAACTGGGTAGATGAAGCCTGAACTATCTCTGGAGGCAAAAACGTTGGAACTGAGACTGTCTTACTTTGGGCACATAAAGAGAAGGCAAGATTCTCTGAAAGACAATAATTCTGAGGAAGACTGAAGGCAGCAGGAAAAGAGGAAGACCAAATATTAGATGGATTGACACCCTAAAGTAACCAGAGGCTTGGGTTTACAAGTCCTGAACAGGGCATTTGATGACCGTACATATTGGAGATCACTCATTCATAGGGCTGCCATTTGTGACATGAGAGAATTGATAAAGGACAATTCTATAAACAGTATAGAGAGAGTGTGGAAAGAGCTTCTGATAGACAGAAAGGCTAATTTTTGCAAGAGTCTATGAAACGTTGGAAGGGTTCCATAAAGGGAGACTTTATAGAGACCTTTCTTTTCAGCCAAGCTTTTACACAATAAGTATTTTTGGAAATTTAGATATTTTACCACATTTTTTAAATGTTTCAAATTTGTTTTTAATCCTGACTGTTTAATTGTTTTACAATGTACAGTTTTAGATGGAATTTTAACTTATTATTGCATGATCTTAATTGTTGTGAGCTGCCTTCGGTCCCCCCTGTGGGGAGAAAAGCAGCATATTAAATAAATAAATAACTCTCTAGCACCCCAACCCATCTTCCAGTTTTGTCTAATGGAACGAGGTTTTCTGAGCAAATGTAATGCATCAACATTTCCCTTACACGTGCTGCTCTAGCAAAGAGAGGATGGGATGACTCTCACATGGTCCTACATGCACATACTAGTATAATGTATATTACAGTAGTGATGATTGGGGAGACGGGATGCAGTGTGGTGGAGATGCAGATACAACGCAATCCTGTGCGCGTCTATTCCGAAATAAGCCATGCCGTGTTTAACTAACGCCCAAGGAAGTGAGGAGAGGGGCTGTAGCCTTCATTGTTGAAAGGCCTCTCTTTTTACAGTCCATTTTGGCTTAGATCTGGGGTTAGGTTCATACAGAGAGTGCTTGCATCTGCCTTCTACAGTATGCACACAAAAACCTTACGTATGAGGGCTGGAGGAAAATTTTATTCCTGTAAATTTCGATGTGGAGGAAGAAACGACGCTGTCAGGTAAGCCTTCCCAAACAGGCGTTCTCATTTCTAACGCACCAAATTTGTTCCCTATCAATTCCAGGAGGCTAGAGAGCCGTCCGGGAGGGGAATGATGAGCTGCAACCATAGTTTCTCTTTTCTAAGTATGCAAGGTTTATTAGTCTGCAATCTTGTACCCGCAGCTGGACAGCAATACTGCCGCACCTTACCCCCAAAGTACCCTACACAACGCGAACAAAATATAATGGGTACCTCCACACCTCCTTGTGTGTGTGTGTGTGGAGAGATCTCCAAGGGCTGGGAGAGTAGCTTCACTCCCTCCGACCCACCCCCG